GGGAGAATGGTCCGACGAAAGGTCAAAAGAAGGTTTAATGTCTAAAAAGTTGTTACTTATTCCTTTTATGATACCAAAATCGATGAGCAAGATCACAGACCTATATAGATGCAAAGAAAAATCCGGAAGAGGAAGTAGGCGTAATGAAAGACATTAGAGGTAATGAAACAGGGATACCAACATATGATGAATATTTAGATATCATTAAAAAAACTAAAGAGAAAAAAAAACACCTGGCCCAGATGAAATTCCCAATGAGATAATTAAAACGGAGGGAAAAAGTTATTAACAAACATTAATAACCTAATAGTTAGAATATGGGCAGCAGAAGAAATGCCCAAGGATTGGAAAGAAGGCAGAATTATATCAATATTTAAGAAAGGAGAAGTAACAAACTGTAACAACTATAGAGCAATATCTCTACTGAGCAAAACATATTAAATTTTAACAGCCTTAATCAAACAAAAACTCACTCAATTCACAGAGAAAACAAATGGACACTACCAACAAGGATTCAGAGAAGGCAGATCCACTACAGATGCGATCCATATAGTTACACAAGCCTTTGACTGTATGGGAAGCAATAAATTATTTAGTGAAACGAAAAATTAAAATATACCAGAAAAATTACTCAGATTAACAAAAATGACCATCGATGGAGCTCGAGCTAAAATAGCAACAAAAGAAGGTAGCACAAAATCAATTGCAATAGAAACAGGAACGCGACAAGGCGATTCCCTGTCAACCACATTATTCAACATAGCAGTAGAAGAAACAATCAAGGCAAGCAAAATTAAAGGAACTATAGTCCACACCTCAACACAAATAGTTGCATAATATGAAGATGATTTATTTCTTTTGGGAAGAGACAAGAAAACATTAAAAGAAGCAGTAACAAGCCTAGCAAAAGAAGCATGGAAAGGAGGTCTAGAAATTAACAAAGGAAAAACAAAATATCTATTCTGCTCTAGAAGAGAAGATAAGAGGACGAGAGAAATCAAAATAGAAAACTACACTTTTGAAAGAGTCCAACAATTTAAATATTTGTATGAGTATGAGTAATAGTGAATGGCCAAAACAAGAGAAGTAAAGAAGTAACGGAACGAATACTAGCAGGCAACAAAACATACTGGAGGTATCATAGGCTTATGAAGGACAAGAACTTATCCATAAATACAAAACTGAAAATATACAGAGTTCTAATCAGACCAGTAGTTACATACGCAGTTGAGACAATGTGCCTTACGGGAAATGATAAAGAAAAATTAAGAAATATTGAAAGGAAAATCCTCAGACGGATTATGGGCCCGATAAGAATGGACAACGAAGAAATGAAAACAAGAATGAACCATGAACTAAGAGACATAATAAAGGGAGAAGATATAATTAGATTTATTAAAGCACAGAGGCTGAGATGGCTGGGACAGATAGAGAAAAGGAAAAACGACCTACTGATTAAGAAGATCACCAGATGGAAACCTTCTTCTTCTAGTTCCATGACCGTTATCGATCGTTGGATATCATGTTGGCTACCATATTCGCTATCGTGACTTTATTGACAGCAGCTCTAAATAATGATGTAGTTGATTTTCCATACCATTGCCTTAGATTTTTCAGCCATGATGTTCTTCTTCTACCAGGACCACGATTACCTTGGATCTTTCCCTGAATAATCAGATGTAAAAGATCATATTTTTCAGGGTGTCTCATAATATGACCGAAGTATTCCAGCTTGCGTTTCTTTATTATATTGACCAGTTGTGTTGTTTGGTTCAGCCGTCTAAGGACCTCCTCATTTCTAACTCTGTCGACCCAGCTTATTTTCAGTAGTCGTCTGTATACCCACATCTCAAAGGCTGTCAAGCGTTTAAGCATAGCCTCAGTTAGGGTCCACGCTTCTACTCCATACAGCAGGACAGGAAAGATGTAGCAAGATACCATACGAACTCTAAGGCCAATGCTAAGATCATGACTGCAAAGTACGTTTCTCATTTTTACAAAGGCAGCTCGGGCTTGTTCTATTCGGCTTTTAATTTCTGCGGTTGGATCCCAGCTCTCATTGATATTACTGCCGAGATACACGAGTTTCTCTACTCTGTCCAGTGTGGCATCTCCGACTTTTATACCGTTATCATGTATATAATTTTGTTTGCTAACTATCATATATTTAGTTTTCTTAACGTTGAGTTTTAGTCCATACTGGTCACACGTCTGTTTTATTTTGTTCATTAGATTTTGAAGGTCTTCTCCGCAATTGGCAAGGACTAAGGTATCGTCGGCATATCTAATATGGTTGACGGTTACTCCATTCACAATAATACCTTCGGTTGTCTCCATTAAGGCTTCCTTAAATATTTCCTCCGAATATAAGTTAAAAAGTGAAGGCGACAATATACAGCCTTGTCTCACTCCTCTTTTTATATTTATTTCATCCGACAGTTCTTGTTCAACCTTTATTCTTGCCACTTGATGCCAGTATAGATTTGTAATTATTCGTAGATCTTTATCGTCCAATCCAGCTGTTTCCAATATTTCTAGCATTTTGTTATGTCGGACTTTATCAAAAGCTTTTTCAAAATCGATTGCACAAATATACACATTTTGATTTATATCTCTGCATCTCTGTACTAGCACCTGTATACTAAACAAGGCTTCTCTTGTACCCAAGCCACTCCTAAACCCAAATTGAGTATTGCTAATTCTGTCCTCTAACAGCGTATAAATTCTGCTGTGTATTACTCGCAGAAAGATTTTCAAAACGTGACTCATCAGACTTATTGTCCGATAATCACCGCATGTCTTTGGACGATGTTTCTTAGGTATTGTGACAAATGTCGACTTTAACCAATCAGTTGGTAATATCCCAGTGTCATAAATTCTGTTAAAGAGATTACACAGAGCTTTAATTCCATATTCTCCCAAAAACTTTAGTATTTCAGCACTTACTTCATCGGGGCCAAGTGCTTTTCCATTTTTTGCCGTTTGTATTGAACGTCTTACCTCACTTTCTGTTATAGATGGACCTGATATAGCAATCGGTGTATAGTGTTCTACTCTCTCATCTTCAAATAATTCAGAAATGTAGTTTTCCCATTCTTTTAACTTTTCATTGATGTCTAATATTCTGTGTCCGTTTCTGTCTTCTAAACTTTGGGATACTTGTTTCCATTTGTTTCCAGCGACTTCTTTCAATTTCTTGTGCAGATGAAATGTATCGTGTTTCTTTTCATATTGTTGAATTTCATTACATTCTTTACTATGAAATTGTGTTTTCGCGTGTCTTATCTTCTGCCTGATTATTGCGTGGATCCTCTTGTATTCGTTTTTATCCTTATTTCTGACTTCTCTTCTTTGATCCATAAGTCTCAGTATTTCTTCTGTCATCCACCCTTGTTTTTTTCTTGCTTTTAGCGCACTCAATTTTGTTTCTTGAACAGTCTTTAAGATGTCTTTAATTCTCGTCCAGTTTTCCTCAGTACTTTCTTCTTTGCTTGATGTTAACTTCATCTTTTGTTCTAATATATTAGTTATTTCTTGTTTTACAGTATCATTTAGCATCGTTTCCCTATCAATAGTAACTGTTTGCTTATTCGTCCTTGCAACTCTTTTTAATCTCAGTCTTAATTTTCCTACTAAAATATTGTGATCGGTTGGTACATCTGCTCCTGGATATGTTTTTACTGATAATACTGAATTTCTATATCTCTTATTTATACATATGAAGTCTATTTGGTTACGAATAACTCGTTCAGGTGTATCTGCTGGTGATTTCCAGGTGTAAAGACGACGTTTTGGAAGTTTGAAAATTGTGTTCATTATTACTAATTGCTTTTCTACGCAAAAAGATGCCAACATATCTCCTCTTTCATTTCGTATTCCCAGACCATATTTCCCTATGACATCTTCCTGTTCACCTTCACCAATCTTTGCATTAAAATCTCCCATGATAATATTGAGATCGTGTTTCTTTGTAGGTGCTAATACTTTTTCTAAATCATGATAGAATTTTTCAATTTCTTCTTGTTCATAGTCTTGTGTGGGTGCATATACTTGTAATATGTTCACATTGATTGTTGTTGATTGTATTTGTATCATCAGTATCCTGTCTGAGAATAGGACGACGTTTTTTACAGCTTCATCTGTTTCCTTCGACACAATTATTGCTACACCATTTTTGTGTTTTGAGCTGTCTTCTCCTGAATAGTATACAATGTGGTCATCTACAGTTATGTAGAGATGGAAACCAGCAACTAAAATAACATGGGGAAGACCCAGAGAGAGATAGGAGGACCAGGTCATCAGATATATCCAAATTCTGGAAGTGAGAAACTGGAGAGAACTATACACACGTGGAAATGAGTGGAAGAAAATTGTAACGAAAGCCAAGTCGTACAACAAATGCAGATCTCTACAGCGATGAGCAGAAATTACGAAAAAGATTTTCAACAAACTAAATACTAATGTATTACATGTAACAGATCGAGAACAGTGGAGAAATATTAATATTCAAACTATCAGAGCTACTGAAGGTCAACGATAAACGACAACACATCTAATATGTTAATGACTGTGATGATGGATAAAGGTATTAGTCTATTTAACGCCATCTATAACATATAATACAAAATGATTTCCTTTCCTTACTTTTTCGAACATTGTTATCACGTTCAGGTAATTATAAAACATGAATCAGTCAGATTAATTTTTTCTTTCTATTGTTCATTATAATGCTTCATCTTGTTTGCGTTATTTTTAAAATAAAACTTAAAATGATCGTTTAATTCAGGATTTTCTTTAATTCGATGTTTGGAAAATGTGGAAAATGTGGAATTGGTTTTAGCTGTTGTTCGAAATCTAATCCCTAGTGTTCTATAAATGTCACGTATATTTGGTATACATTTAAATGGCTTAAAGGATATCTACATTAGATTTAACACAATCAGATTAGAATTCGATAATTTCAAATTAATTCCGATCTTTTTAACAAACTAAGACCTTACCTGTAAACAGTTCTGAAAAATGTCGTAGGTTGAAGTGGTGTGGGAGTGCCCCCTCCTCTGTAATTATGCCTAAAATCATCATCTATATCTAAAACATTGGCTAATAGACTTTTCGATGAGCGTTCCTTTAATTCGACTTCCGGAAAATGAATGGGTTTCCGTTCAGGAGGTGCTGAACGGTTCGGCGATGAGACGTAGTTGTTTTTGTCAGCTGGCCTCTGCATACGCAATATCCACGGAAGCCAACATAAAAATACCACTCGAATCTGTAAGAAAACATCCAAAATAAGCAACTATACGAATATCTACATGAAAAAGCACAAAAATCAAGTGATGGTAATTAATAAGGTAATAATATATACAGGGTGAGTCATGAGGAACTTTACATACTTCTACCATATGTAGAGTCCCTCAGGGAGCATATCATGTGGCCACTAAAAAATGTCAACTCCTCTTCTTTATTAATTAACAGGGTGATTTGTGTAATTGACCATTTATTTCATTTTACTGTAGTGTTTATACGGCTTATTTCATTTTTTTAATTTTTGCATGATACAGTACACTACTATCAAGCATTCGACTGGTATTAGCTAAACTAAAAAATTCCAGGACTGGCTTTGGAAAAATTAATTTAGGGATTCGTATTAAATATTACACCCTGTATATATATATATATATATATATATATATATATATATATATATATATATATATATATATATATATATATATATAATATATATATATATATATATATATTTTTTTTTTTTTTTTTTTTTTAAATGCAATAAGTGATTTTCAAACTACATAAATAGCCAATGAAAACGACATATGCGACAATGTTGTCGCACTTTTATTAAATTTTTAGTGAACGATCAAATCTTACCAAAAACAGAACAACCATAATGAAGTACCAAATTATAAGGTATTAATTTAAACAAATGTTATAAATTTCAAACATTTTAATTAAAATGAGTTCCTGCAACATAATCTAATACGTAGAAAATTAACATCTTTACTGTCACTTTGTATTATCTCTACGATAGAATCAATTGTTTGTCAATTTTAAATTTTTACTTATAGATCGTATTGGGGCAGTATTTTCGATAAATAATAAATTAAATTGTTTAAAAAGTCAAACCTCTTGTATGTGTTAGTTTTTGTTGATTGTAAATGATTAAAATTTTATGTCAAATAATAATACATTGCATCAACTGTACTAAATAAAAATAAATCTAAAAAAGTTTAAAATGAAGGTTGGCGTTGACCGTTTGACTTTTCTTGATATTTTATACCCATTGTCATTATTGTCATTATCAATTGTTATTTATGTGTACAAGAATACATATTTCTTCTGTCATATCTACGTTAAGTACATTGTATTAGTTTTGGTAGAGCTTTTGTTACTTTCGTTCAAAATACCACATCAGTTTTCGACCACAGAATATGCAGACATAGTATTTGTTTATGGATTCTGTAATGGGAATGGTAGGGCTGCTAGTAGAGAATATCGCAAGAGATTTCCTAATCGTCGAACTCCCAGTTATCCAACATTTGGGTCAGTTTTTAATGATTTGCGAGAAAATGGCACTTTTCCTAGTGGAACAACAGAGCAACATGTAGATGAAGCGCAGGAAGATGACATTATGGACGCCGTTACTATGAACCCTACAATAAGCACTAGACAAGTAAGTCGAGAACTCATTGTTACTCAATCAAAAGTAAGTAGAGTCTTACAAAAAAATAATCTATACCCATATCACATTCAAATGGTTCAGCGACTACATGCTGGAGATGAGATCGATAGGTTGGAATTTTGTAGATGGATTAACAATAATCGACCAACGCTATACAGGACACTATTTACAGATGAAGCCCAATTTACCAGAGATGGGATAAATAATTCACGAAGTTCACATGTGTGGGCAGAAGAAAATCCCCATGCTATTCGAGAACGTCGTTCTCAGTTAAGGTTTTCGGTTAACGTGTGGATTGGTGTCATAAATAACCAATTAGTAGGTCCTCACTTTTCTGATGGTCCTTTAAAGGGCAGGTCTATTTGAACTTTCTACAAAATATTTTGCCGAATTTGCTTGCCAACACGAACGTTGCTATCCGAGGGATGTATTTTCAGCATGATGGGGCACCCCCACACTTTTTACTGGCAGTGAGACAACATCTCAATGTTTATGGCAACAGGAAAATAATAAAAAACTCTGAAAAATGTTAACTTTTAAATTTAAATGTGCGCTTTTTAAATATAAATTTAAATGTACAGGGTGAGTACAAGTCTGGCATAGTTCATAATCCTTATTTTTAATGAAACACCTTGTATATTTTTATGTTTTTAAAAGATTGTTAACAACCTGATTTCAACGACCTAATCATGTAGGGTCTAAAATGAATAAAAAAGGTAAAATTTTGAAATTAATAATTTATCACGTGTTATGGTATTATTTTAAATTAGCTAAAGTGTCAGTATATTGGGGAAAATTTCTGTTTAGCAACTGTGTTAACATTATTTGTCATGTAAGAAAATGTTTGAAATGTAAGAAACAAATAAGGAAAATTAAACGAACCTGGTTAAATGATAAGATAAATGAAATAGAAAAAGAAAACAGAAACACAAAGGCATTTTATAAGAAAATTAGCGAGCAGAACAAAACCTTTAAACGAAAGATAAAAGGCATGAAGGATAGAAATGGAAAAGTATCAGAAAATGACAAAGAGTTTAAAAAAATCTGGACTGAAACAGTACAAGAGGACCAAGACTTAAGTGAAAACGTGGAAGAAGAGACCATGATGATAGAAACCGAGCTAGAAAAACCAACGAAAGATGAAGTTGTAGAAATTATAAACAGCAGTCGCAACGGTAAAGCACCAGGTATAGACGGTGTAAACATGGAACTTATAAAATATGGTGAGCATGAACTCAGAGAAAAAATATACCAATTAATAAAAGTCATATGGGGCGAAGAAAAGATGCCAGAAGAATGGTACAAAGGACAAATTATCACAGTCCATAAAAAAGGAGATCAACAAATGCGTAATAATTATAGAGGACTGACATTATTAAACAAAGCGTATAAAATCATGTCAACCTTAATAAAATGAAGACTGGCCGAAGCGACTACAAATATCATGGTACAGTATCAATGCGGATTTATTAGGGGAAAGTCAACAACAAATGGTAACAACATACGGTAAAGCAAATTATGGAAAAAGCTTATGTATACAAAATAGAAATTGAAATGCTTTTTATAGGCTTCTAACAAGCATTTGATTCAATAGACAGAGCAAAATTACTTACAGCTATGAGAGAAATGAGAATACACAACAAATTAAGACGATTAATAAAAATGACAATGAGCAAAATTGTAGTAACTGTAAAAACACAAAAAGGAGACACAGAAGAATTTGTTATAAATAAAGGTGTACGTCAAGGAGATTCATTATCAGCAACTCTGTTTAATCTTGCCTTGGAATATATAGTCAGAAAAATCAACAAAAGTACACTTAGAATGAGAGAGAGACAAATAATAGCTTACATCGGTCAAACTGGTAGAAACTTTGATAAACGAATAGCAGAACATAAAAGGGCTTTCAAGAATAGAAAAACAGATTCGACATACGCACTTCACCTTCTAGATCATAATCATTCTTTTAATGACAAATTTAAAATTCTTCACATTCAAAATAATGGCCTTAAGCTATCTTTGTTAGAATCTATGGAAATCAACAAATTAAAAAACACAGATATAATTCTGAATGACCAACTTGAGACAAACATTTCTCCCCTCCTCAACCTATTTCATTAGAGACTATAAATTTGTAAACCCAAGCCAAAAATAGATCACTTAAGAAAGGCTATCAGCCGAAACAGCTGTAGTGATAAGATTTAAAATAATTTTTGTGGAAGTTTGAAAACAATGTTTTCAGTGTTTTATTGTTACATAAAATGAATTTCCATCAAGTAACGGTCGAATCCTTCAATTACAAATAATAGAATATGCCGACGATATTGTGATAATAACAAAGAACAGAAAAAATGGAAAGTATGTTAACAGAATTGGTAGCAGAAGGGAAAGTAATAAGCTTAGTGATAAATCAAGAAAAAACAAAAATAATGAGATTTGACAAAAAATATGATAACCAAAAGTTAGACTGGGAGAATATAAATTTGAAGAAGTACAAAAGTTTAAGTATTTGGGAATATTATTAACAAACAATGGATAAAGGGAAACAGAAATTAAAGAAACGATAATTACAGCAAATAAGACATACTATGAAATAAAAAACTTCTAAAAAATAAATTACTGAGCAAGAAATCGAAAATGGAAATATGTAAAACAATAAATCGACCGACTATGATGTATGCTGCCGAAACCCTTAGCATGACAAAAAAACAAGAGGACGACCTTAGAATACTGAAAGGAAAATACTAAGAGCAATACTAGGACCAATAAAAATTAATGAAAACCAATATAGACAAAGAACGAATCATGAACTACTAAACTAAATTAAAGAGGGTATAGTTTGTAAAATAAAACAGCAAAGGGCAAAATGGCTAGGACATATATGGAGATCAGGACCATCTACGACAATATTTTTTCATAATTTAATCAGCACGCTGAATGACGTGGCATATATTAATTATCATCACCAGTAAGGTTGATTTTTTTGATTATATACGTAATATTTTTAAAGTTTTGACGAATGAATTAAAACGATGGTGTTCAACACCAAAATCAAAAATAAAACTTATCGAATGTTACTTCGGTACAGCCGTGAAAGTAAATGGCCAGTGGCAGTGTTCGATTCCGACCGAATTAGCCTACAATTAAAATACGTTTTACAACGTTTTGACAAATTGTACGTAATTATTTAAAGATACCTGTAGCGTTGATCGAAAAGCTGGAAGTGGTCATTTTCTATATGAACAGCTGAAAATATCGGAACTGTTTAACACCTCATTTATCAGAACAAAAAACATCCATTTTAGTAGCGGCTAAACACACAGATTTTTCATACGACAGATGTCAAAAAATCGTCAATATTGTCAATAGTTTAATAATATCCTAAATAATATTATCTTTAATCAAGTTTTTTTCAGATTATTTGTTTTGTTGAAAAACCATCCGAGAACGGTATCGACATTTTTTAGGTCATTAGTGGTACCGTGATATCATATACGACACCACAGATATTTTTTAAATTTCTGCTAAGAAATCAAAAATATTTTTTTGTTATTAAATTTGC